CTCAGCCTGATCACGAGTCCTCGTGAGTGGGAAACCTTGCCCAGCTGTGGCTAGAAAGAGAAGAGACAGGGGAAGCATGGTCAGAAAGATGCCTTGCGAAGGCTCAGCTGGCTATCACTGGCCTCAAAGATGAAGGATGGGACTATGAGCTAAGGAAAGCGCTACAAACCCGGGACAGCTCTTAGCGTCCATCCAGTAAGAAAGCAGACATCTTGGATTCCCAACAGAAAAGGAAGTGAATTCTGCCAGCAACCTGAATAAAAACAGGAAATAAAATTTCCCTTGGCACCCCCAGAAAGGAACGCAGCCCTGCAGGCTTCTTGATTTTAGGCCTAGTGAGATTTGTATTGGACTTCTGACCTAGAGAATTGAAAAATAATGAATGCAGGCCAATATAATAAATGCGTAAAAACGAATATAGTCTGGCTTGCAAATTTACAAATTATAGGAGGCAGTATTGCAGTGGTTATGAACATGGATTTGAGGGTCAATTTGCCTGGGTTCTAATCCCAGATGCACGACTTATTAGATCTGTGGCCAGAGGCAAGTAAGCTAACCTTTAGCGTCTTAACTTTTTCATCAGTTTTAGGAATAATAATATAGACACTTAAACTAGTTAGAGTAAAGTAGTATGCTAACATAAAATAAAAGACTATTACAGACCTAATAATAATATAATTTCAAAACAAAGACATCTATTTCTCACACCATAATGAAGGTGTCCCACTTGGTGTGGACAACAATCTTATACAAACCAGGTGGGCCATGCCTCTGCCTTTGAAACAGGTGCCTTCCCAGGTTGCTCTAGTCCCCTAATAACAGAAGTCTAGGGACACAGATGTTCCCTTAAGAAAATGCAGTGGATTGGGTGGCTCATTAGGTTAAAGCCTCTGCCTTCGGCTCAGGTCATGACTCCCAGAGTCCTGGGATTGAGCCCCACATCAGGCTCTCTGTTTGGCGGGGAGACTGCTTCCCTCTCTCTCTGTGCCTGCCTCTCTGCCTACTTGTGATCTCTGTCTGTCAAATACATAAATAAATAAATCTCAAAAAAGAAAGAAAAAGAAAGAAAGAAATGAAGGAAGGAAGAAAGAAAATGCAGTGAAAGTGCTATTCACAAAATGCTGGAGAGAACCTAACCATTACTATTTATTTATTTCCCCAAATTCTTGATGGCTTTGCTGTCATTCTAACAAGAATGATCATTTACAAAATACTCAGTTTTGGGGCGCCTGGGTGGCTCAGTGGGTTAAAGCCTCTGCCTTCGGCTCAGGTCATGATCCCAGGATCCTGGGATCGAGCCCCACATCTGGGCTCTCTGCTCAGCAGGGAGCCTGCTTCCTCCTCTCTCTGCCTGCCTCTCTGCCTACTTGTGATCTCTCTCTGTCAAATAAATAAATAAAATCTTTTAAAAAAATACTCAGTTTTTTCCTATCTTCCATAGTAATCTTTTCTTAATTTATTTTTATTTTTATTTATTTGTTATTTTAAGTAAAGTCGACCCGACTCCCAACACGGGGCTTGAACTCATGACCCCATGATCAAGGCCTGCATGTTCCATCGACTGAGCCAGCCAAGCACCTCTTTTCTAATGTAATCTTTAAAATCAAGCATAGTAGGTAAGACTCTACCTATTTTACAGGTAAGAAAACCAGAGTCTGAAAGACCAGGTGACTTCAAAGCCCATACATTTTACATTTAAACAAAGTATCTCTCCCTTGAATTTAAGTGATATTAAAAAGCTAAAGAAAAACAACACAATTTAAGAGTAGAAGTGATGAAGGAAAAAAAAAAACAAGCAAAAGACTAATTAGGGAGACAAGCGGAACAAACATTAGACAAGATAGAAATCAGGGTATTGGTGGTTTGGAGTAAGGCTGCCACTCTCTGCCTAACTCAGGTAAATCCATTCTCTCCTCTGGGCCTCATTTCTTCATGGGCAAAGTGGAGTCATGGACTCGATGATCTTTTTTCTACCCGTGACATTCTGTGATTCCATTTGGAAAACAGTGAAGCCAAAGATATGGGAGCAGGGAGAAATCATGTGATTTTTTTTTTTTTAATTGCTCCATTTAAGGAAATAGCAAGAGTGAGAAAGCCCCAGTGACCGAAACAAGGAAATCAGATGGGCCTCCCACGGGGCTCAGAAGACAAGCTGTGACCTGCTTGGTAAAGCCACACCTGCTCCTCACATTCCTCCCAAGGCAGGTCCCAGGCCTGTGCCCAAGGCAGTGAATGGGTGTTCTAGGGGAATCCCTAGAGGTGGAGGCTAAACCCCTGGATAGAGCGAGGTCTGAGTATGAAGGGTTCTTCCTTGGAGGAAGTGACTAAGGAAGGTGTTTTGACCTGATGGGTGCATGGAATAGTGACCTGGGCTAGGAAGCCAAAGACCAAGGTTCTAAACCCTGGCTTTGGCACCTGGAGGTTGTGTGATCCTGGGTTACCCCATCTCTTTGGACCTCAGTTTTCTGACATGTGAAATGGATCCAATCTATAAGAGAGGAGGAAATTTAACATACCCTGACCTCTAAGTGCCCAGATCATTCCATGCACTCTTATCAGTTACTGCATTTAAACTTCGCATTGATGAGAGAGATCTGTAGGTTTAAGTCAACAGATGGGGAAACTGCACAAAGGGAAGTGACTTATTTGTCTAGTGGAGCAGGATTTGGACTCAGGGTTGTCATCACTTGGGTTATTTCCAGTAAGCCCATGTCTCGAAGAAGATAAGTGTAAAAAGTGTTTTTGTGAAGTATCAAGGGTAATAAAGTGCAAAGACTCTCAGTCCCGAATTAACACAGGAATTTAGAAATTACCAGAAGTGATGCTCTATGAAGAAACAGGCTTTTTCAGGGTTTTTCCCACTGCTCAGCTGCCTACTCAGTCCTTAATCTGTTTATTTTGTAGGCAGTCAAGTGCTGGTTTTTTGAAGTGACTCTTGAAACAATAGCAGCCTGGGGTCGTGAAAAAGAATCCTGGACTAGGGAATGTGAGACTGTCTGGTTCCAGCTGTGCCATGGGAACAATCACTTGCCTGTGCCTTCTGTAAAATAAGGGACTGCGCTAGAGGTGATGGCCAAGGTCCATGTAGCTAAGGCACTTTCAGGAACTCAGGGGAGCTGAAGGAGAGTAAAGTCTGACACTCTTAACAGCTCCCATTCTGGCCTGGGGCAGAATGCACTTTGGGAAAGCCAGCCTACATCTCCCCTCTCCCCTCCTTAAACCCCATTTGAACTAGAGGGGACTTTGGGGGATGGGTGGGGGCAGCTGAAGGGAGTGTGTGTTTATATACTTAGGGATCCACCCCAGGCTGGGAAGGCCACAGTTGAGAGCCACCTCCCCAGTTCTTACCTGGTGTTTCAGTCTTTGAGGGGTAGGCATAAACCACAGAGTAGGAGTGGGAGGAGGAGAAAGAGGTGGGTTCCAGAGGAGGAAACAGTAGTCCTGCATTAGCCCTCGGGTGTACCAACCACTCCCTCCTTTGTGCACACCCACTGTTGCACCAATTTCCCAGTAATTGCTGCAACTTGTTTACCTGTAGACTACCCAACAGTGACCTTCTAACACACTCCACATCCATGAACGGGAAGGAGTAAAAATGAGGAAAGGAGCATGAAGGAGATAGGTTGCTGGTTTTATACTTGATCTTAGCCAGGAGGCAGGGAATGACAGCCAGCCAATTTTTACAGCTAATAGGAAGTAAAAATTTTTAAAGCATATTACTAGTGAAATTTTAGGAAAACAACTTGGGTGTTTGCTCCCCCCCCAACACACACACCCCATGGCGTAGGGCCCACTACAGACTAGCTGTAACTACATGGGAAAGTCCTTTAACCTGTCTGGCAAGCCAGGATACTTTGACATGAAGTAAATCGCCAGGGGCTATATGGGAATAATACCACTACTTCCAAGTAGGGCTAGGAATCAAAGGAGATACAGTTCCCGAAACAAAGGTAGTGCTTTTTTTCTCCACTGGAGAGCCTTTAGAACCAAAAGCTGGTCCCCTTTCCCTACAATAGCATCTAGTTCTAGCCTCCCCCGCCCTCCCTCCCCCATTCTGGAGGAAGCTTCCAAACAATCCTACTTAGAAAGACCAGTATTTATACCAGCCTGTGTAAGGCATCTCAGAAAACACCAGAGTGGCAAAATGAAATGCCTACTCCTGCAAGAAAAAAAAAAAAAAAAGTGTTAGAAGTTGAAATAAGAAATCTGAGTCTTGGGAACTGAGGAAACCCAAATGATAGAAATCTGGAGCAAGTTTTCACAAACTTCATCTTTTGGTCTGTGCCTTTTCCATATTTTATTAAATTCGTGTTTTTTTTTAAAAAATCACAGCAGCATTATCAAAGACAAAATATGTACAAACATTTTACAAAAGAAACATTACTAATACCAGCTATACCAAGGGCAGGCTGAGGAACAAACTCTGGGTTTCGAGGGCACAGTCCACCCTCAAAGAATCTCAAATGTGTTCGGGCGGCTGAAACAGGCTTCTTTCCCGGTGACAAGCAGATGTGGTTGGTCGTACAAACCACGGCAACAGCGGGTGCTACGCGGGCTCAGTGGGCGAACTCCTCTCCTCACCGGCAAGGCCAGGATCCTGGTGGAGCTAACCACATAACCCAAGACAGTAAAAAGCGCTGTCCTCCCTCCCCGCATCGAAGCGCTTGCAAGCCTTCAACACCTTTCGCGTCCATGGCAAACCCGGCCGCAGTGTCATACCAACAGGTGAATCTCACACGTAACCCTGCGTCGAACTTCGCTGAACTCTTGAGTCGGGTTTCTCGTCGGACCGAAAGGGAAGGAATTTTAGAAATGCCTCCTCTGAAGCCAGAAGTCAGAAGGAGAGGTGACCCTGATTAAACCCGATGGGGGTGGGGAGAGGCAGGAATTTGGAAAGAGCAAGGTCTCCTCTGGGCCAAAAGTCAAGGCGAGCGGCTCTCTTTGGGCTGGGGCCGGGCTGCAATCCGGTGGCTCACCCCACCCCCCTGCCCCGCCCGGACCTACAAGCTCGGCTCCTTTCTCAGCTCCCCCAGCTCCTTGACCTCCACCTTCCTGTACTTCCCCGACTTCCTCCAGTTGGTGATCACCAGGACGGCCACGCCGGCGACGAGGGCCACCACGACCACCACGATGACGGCGATGAGGCCGGCCGTGAGGCGCTTCATGGAGAACTGGGGGGGCTTCTCGTCCAGGTAGTAGATGAGCGTGCGCTCCACCAGCAGCGGCTCGCCGCGCACGCGCACGTCGAGGCCGCCGGGGCCGGGGAACAGCGACTCGCCCTTGACGTCCCTCTCGAAGTAATAGGCGGCGTCCGCGATGTCCACGTCGCCGGGGCCCTTCTCGGTGGCGTTCTGCCGCAGCTCGATCTGGATGGTGGGCCGCTCGTAGTGCACGGCCGCCACGAACCGGGGGTGCAGCCGGTAGCGCTCGCGGAAGAGCCGCCGCAGCTCGGCATCCAAGTCCGAGTGGTTGAAGGCGTGGGCGGCCGGGCGGTGGCGCAGGTCGATGAGGATGTGGTGGGTGCGCACCAGCTCGTCGCAGCGCAGGCTCAGGTCGCCCTTGTCGGTGCGGCGCACGCCCACCGAGTTCACGCACCAGCACACCGACGTCTGGTTGCACTGGCGGGCCTTGAAGCGGCCCTCGTGGTCGCAGTCGGGGTCGTACAGGCCGTCGTTGTCCAAGAGCGCGTGCTCGCTGGGTCGCACGAGTGCGCGGCCGCTCTTGGGGGCCCTCATGCGCGCCTTGAGCAGCAGGCACTTGGAGGTCAGCGTGGAGCAGTCCACCGGGAAGTCCAAACCGAGCACGCGGCACTGGCAGCGGCCGCCGGGGCCGTCCGCGCGGCACAGGGTCATCTTATTGGTGGCGCACGTGCAGTTGTCCTTTGCGGCCGACGGGCCGATCGCCGCCACCAGGAGCAGCAGCAGCAGCGGCAGCGGGGGCGACGGCAGCGCGAGGCCCGAACCCCGGGCCATGGTGGGGCGGCGGAGCGCAGACGGGACGCGGGCGGACCAGGCGCTGGGGACTCTGCGGGGCTCCAGCTCCGCGTTGGGACAGTCTCGGGCTTCTGCCGCTGGCCGCTCCCTTCCGCTCTTATACTCCGCCGGACCTGCCGGGCTGGTTGGGCGGACTCACCCTCTGGTATTTGGGTGACACATCCCGCGGCCCCCAACCTCCCCCCCCCCACCCGCCCCGTCACCGTCCCACGGAAGGCACAGCCCGCCCTGCGCCGCCCGCGATAGGATCGGAGGAGCGGAGGCTGCTCCCGCCTCCTTCAGACCGAAAGCCTGGGAGAGGAAAACCGATACTCACCTGCGGGCTGCGGAACCCCGCCCCGCCCCGGCCCGCCCTGGCCTCACCTGGGGAGGAGCAGCCATCCCAGCCGCCCCCAGCCGGAGGACCGCGGGTGGCCTGGCTGCTCTCCTGAACAGGAATTCTTAAGAATTTCTTTAAAAAGTAAGGCGCGGGAGATCGCCAGCCTTTTGTCCCCTAGCCCCTCCCTTTCCCAACCCCTATCCCTAACCTACCGTCCAGTTCTCCCAGTAGCCGTCAGTTAGTTTAGAATTCACAGGCATTATCTCAGCCTTGCCTCAGTCCTGACAGGTATGTACAATCTTTCAGACCCATTTTATAGGTGATGCAGTTGAGGCTGAGACTTAAAGTCACCCAGCCATCAATATCCTCAAATTCTTTGGAGGAGTCTTTGGTATTCTGCTTGGTGATTGTGAAACCTTAAATCAGTGTTTATGGAAACAGAGTGGTGCTGAGTCCGAAGAAAGGAAGCAGTGTTACCATATCATGAGTAAAACCCAGGTGTCCCGGGATCCAGTGTGTCAGAAGTTCTGTTAAACACAGTTTTCCTCTACACACACACACACGCACACACACACACACATACACACCCCACACACATACACAGAAACATAATATTCATACATGTACTCAGTGTAGGGAAGCAAAAAGGAACTAGTTCTTCAAAAGAATAAGCAAGATTACAAGGGATTCTTTGTATACGTTGATTCTGAAAGAGCAAGTCATTGCTTTTCTTTTTCTGTGCCCAGATAAGTAGCTGAACCACTGCAAAGAAGAAAAGGATGGGCCTGTGGGAAATGGCTGGTCTGCCTCTTCGTGGCTACTTTAATGGGGTGGCGGGGTGCAATCTCTTTTTTGAATCATTGAGAAAGTCCTGGGTTTCAAAGCTGTGGTAAAATTAACAATAATTAGCAAGTTATAATTATTCCTGGCTCCTTCGTTCAAAGCACATTTTATATGTTCAGCATTTAATGAACACCAGCAGTAGTACAAGGGTGTTGTTTAACACATGAAAGCCACCTAGCCTCTATCCCATTAATTTTCGAGCAATTCCTGAGGCGGGTAGGTGGAAATATATCATTCTCCCTTTATAGGTAGAGAAAGCAGAGTCATGTGAGGGCAATTTCTTCCCCACAAGCACCAGGCATACTGGGAATGCTCCTCTGCTCTCTACTCCCGCTGTCTCTGTTCAGCTCCTTGAACCAAAAGCCTAGTCAGATTCCAGTTTCTTTCCCCCTCTCCAACACCCAGTCCATCCTGTGTCAGAGAACTTTCTTTCTTTCTTTCTTTCTTTCTTTCTTTCTAAGCTTATTTATTTATTTATTTGACAGTCAGAGATCACAAGTAGGCAGAGAGGCAGGCAGAGAGAGGAGGAAGCAGGCTCCCCGCTGAGCAGAGAGACCGATATAGGGCTGGATCCCAGGACCTAGGGATCATGACCTGAGCCGAAGGTAGAGGCTTTAACCCACTGAACCACCCAGGCACCCCGAGAGAAGGCTTTCTAAATCACAAGTCTGTGTTGATCTCTGCTGAGAGCCAAGTGGGAGGTGCTTGTGGCTCTTGGAATAGAATTCACACTTTTTAAGTTAGCAAACAAGATGGTGTATGGCCTTGAGCAAGGTGCTTCTCTGTGCCTTACTTTCCTCATCTGTTAAATGGGGATAATAAAAGTACCTACTAACTAGGTAGGTGTGAGAATTAATGTAGATAAACAGCTTAGAAGAGTGTCTGTTCTAACAGTAGCTGCGCTTAGTAAACATGGATAGGTGTTAGCGGCTGTCCTGGTCCCCACCACCACCATGACTATCTTCATCTTGCTCCTGCCAGTATCTCCTGTCTTCTCCACATTTTCAAGCCTTCGTGAAATCATGTGCTGGGATTCTCCCCCTCATTTATTTATTGCATTATTGTGCTTTTTCTACCGAGCTCTTGGATCGCCCCCAGGAAGCCTTCCCTGATAGGCCCTGTCTATTGCACTGAGGGCTGTGCTCCTTCTCTGTGCTTTCCTAAATCCTGTAACATAACAGCAAAACTAACTTTTCTGGGCTTCTGTCTGCTCATCTGTAAAATGGACATGATAGCATCTCTCTATTTTATAAGGCATTCTGACAATCAAATCTAAAATAGATGAGACAGTAGACACCAAAGTTTTATAAACTGGAAGACACTGTAAAAATGTCAGGTTGCATTTTTATTTGTTAAAAACATATCCTGTCTTTTTAATTTTCCAGCTGCTGACTAAGTAGCCCTAATCCTCTGTAAATGGCAGAGCTACCTGTTTGATATTCCAATGCATCACAGGTTGGCGGGAGGAAAACTAATGGGGAAGGGTTCTCAGGGCTGGGGAATGTGTACAAAGGTGTCTTTGACTGCTTAGCTATTTAGGCTAGTGTTATGAGGTCTCCAAGCCTTGGCCTTTTTCAGCCATGGTAAGTGTTTGGGGGATGGGGATAAAGGGAGCCTATTCTCAATGTCCTCTGTGGAAGACGGAGTGACCCCCCCCCACCCTCTTCTCTTTCTTAATTTCTGTGGTGAGCCAGGCTTTCCCCAACAGACACACAAACATGATGATGAGTTTTTTGTTTTGGTTTTTCTTTTTTATAGATTCTTTTGGGAGTTAGTTGGGAAATAATTATTTTTTCTAAGTAGGCTCTATGCCCAGTGTGGGACTTGAACTCCTAACCCCAAGATGAAGAGTCGCATGCTCTACTGACTGAGCCAGCTGGGTGCCCTTATGAGTTTATTAACTAAGCACAGCCTCAGCTATGATTCTCCCTTCTCGCTTCATCCCTTTCCTGACAAGGTCTGCAAAATATCACGCGTTAGCTTTAGCTCTTTGTATTTATTTTTTTTAAATTTTAACTTTCAAGTATTTAACAAAGGCATTCCGTGAACTCAGGTTTGTCAAATGTCTATGCGGGGCAGGAACCATATCTGAGCACTTCTGAGCCCCAGCAGCAGCATTTATTAGGGCCTCAGTAATGCTTATTGGATTAATTAACGGTGAGATGTGCCGCGAATGTCAGAGGATCAATACACATTCCCAGGAGTGTTCATGGTGGCTGTTTCTGTTCTCCGCAAGTCCAATTCTCATTACCAACCCCAGCCACGAACCTCTATCCTTACCCTAACCCAACCTCCAAACACCCAGTTTCAAGGAGGACTGAGTAATGCTGAACTGACTGTTACTTTTGCTTTTGTGCACGATCCCGAACTTTTACCGGCCTGTAGCCATAGCGGGTTGGGATACAGGCTGATTGGTCTGTGAGCTGACAGGGATTCTGAGAAACACAGTCCAGTGCAGCTAAAGGCAAACGGGATCTAGTGAGACTTAGGCTCCCATCCTGGCTTCATTCTTCATTGGCTGTGTGATTTTGAATAAGTTACTTCACCCCTCAATTTCTTTAATTATAAAATGGGGGGGTAATAATATCTACATTTCCCCAAAACCTGTGAAAAGGATGACTTCCCGCCTTGTTATTATGAACACGTTCTTCCCCAACTGAACTTCAACTTCATGACTTCTTGTGCCCTGTTTTCTTTTTCATTTTTTAAAAAAGATTTTATTTACTTGACAGAGATCACAAGTAGGCAGAGAGGCAGGCAGAGAGAGAGGAGGAAGCAGGCTCCCTGCTGAGCAGAGAGCCTGATGAGATGCGGGGCTCAATCCCAGGACCCTGGGATCATGACCGGAGCCAAAGGCAGAGGCTTTAACCTGCTGAGCCACCCACACGCCCCTTGCACCCTGTTTTCTAAGCTGGTGTTGACGATCTGAGTTTCCTCTGTGCAAGACCAATACCAGCTCATCAGTTTTCTATTTTGGGGTGTGATTTACAAAAACAAAACACAAAAACAAAACTGTATTTGATTAATAAAAAAAATACTTACCATCTATAATTATTTTTAATGATTCAAGATAAAAAATATAAAATACCCAACACAGTGTATGGCATACACTAGGGAGAATTCATCTCAGTTATTATTATCAACTGTCTCAGGGGTGTGAGGATGCCTGGAGATCATTATAGGTTCCCGCAAAGAGCTGGTGATTGTGGGGATTGCTGAAGACCTGCCCCAGAGGCTGTGTGCAAGGGAGGGGAGCTGCCCCTGAGCCCTCGTCATCCTGACCCCCAGGATGCAGGAACAAGGAGATTATCTAGTTGCAGATCAGGCTTTAGCATTTCTATGCTCATCATCTGCTGAAAGCCCTACAGCACCCTTGGGGAGTGGGCAGGGAAGACATTATCCCTATTTCACAGATGTGGAAACAGAGGCCTTGGGAGGACAAGAGAAGGAATGGCTCATGGTCACAAGCTTATAAGTGGTGAGGTCAGGCCTAGAATTTGGGTCTCCTGACACCACCTGTACATACAAATTTAAAAGGTGGAAGAGAATCAAAGGGGTCAAGAGGTTAGAGTCTCATCTGAGGTTCCTCAGATTTTCTTTTTCTTTCTTTCTCTTAGTTATACAATTTTTTTTTAGAAAGTTCAGGTTTTGTGAAAAGCAAAAAACCTAGCTGCTTGCATAGGGCACAACAGTGATCCCACACCTGAAACCCTAAGACTCATGCCATTACCCACCAGTTCCTCCCACATTGGAGTGGACGCGTTCCTTGCTGTCTGCCTTGCTGGGATGAAGTAGCCCACATTTGCATTCTGTCCTG